CCCAACTTACCCTAAGAGCAAGGCCGACTATGCTCCTCGACAATGTGGAATCCTTCAGTCTCTCAAGGGTCTTACCCTCCATGTCGGAACAGAGGGGACCAAGAGAAGGGACTACCTCCTCCGTATCAACTAGTATATCCCGGTCTAGAGGGATCGCAATGGTCCGCGTGGTTCCCTCCAATCTCACCTCGAGCCGGGTGAGTCCTTCTCCCATCGTCCTAACCTCTTCAGGGTCCATATCGGAGCCCGTCTCGTAACCATCCTCAGCAACCCCCTTACCTCTCTCATCGGTAAACGAGGTGGGAACATCAACGGGCTGCGAGGATGATGACACATCTCGCCGCACAGTACCCAGAACCTCCATGGACACTCCATCAATTCTGACATTGGCATCAAGAAGGGGTACGCTCTCTGCGACCTCTGCTGATGGCAGGACCTCAGACAGAAAATTTGCACCGTCTTCAGGCATAACGGAGTCCAGTTCGCGCTCATTCCTTGTAGAATCTATGGCTCGGATTGTCCCATCGCCGACGTCCACCGACCTCCTTTTACGAGGGACCAAGTCCTCCCCGCTCGATGAAGACTCTTCATCTATTAAATAAAGAAAGGGAGAGGCCGGAGTCTCTGGTATTTAAGTCGTCGACGATCTAGTCGATTTAGCCGAAACCGGAGGCTGAATAGAAGTGGATGGTCGGGCAAGCTTGGCCACATCATAGCAGGGGCGGACCCCGTTGTAGTATTCATTTGGTGAAACGCAGTATTAGGGGCCTTCGACCTCATCGAGGATCACCGGATAAAAACAAAATAGAAGAAAAAAAATATAGAGGTCGATCCCCACAAAACAATATGAAGCAAGCAACCAGAAGGCCACGACAATAAAGATTTAAAATGTGTAAACTCACCGGTCGCTGAAAGCTTAGGTCCGAACTTCTTGATAAAGGCCGACCATTCACGAATCCTCACTGTGTGAGGCAAGACCTGGCTAACCCAGTCATGAATATCCGCAACCAAAGGAGGGGGCGAAGTCTCAGCTAAACGAGGAAAAGACAGAGTGTTAGGCTACAATCAAAATGAGCGAAATAAGCGCTTGGTAAAAAATACTTACGGGCATAATTCCATGCCTCAGGAAATCTATTCGTATTTATCACCAGGTCATCGGTCTTGACGTAGAAGTAGCTAAGCCAGAACCAACGATTTGCTTTATCGTCCATCTTCACTACCAAACTCTTACTTCCTCGGTGACGAAGATGTAACATCGTCCCCCTATAGAAACTGGGCGCGAAGAGGTGCATCGGTGGTGAAGAGAGATCCCGCGGCCGACCAATTTCGCGTACTTCGTCAACATGCAGATGAGTTTGTAGATGTAAGGTGAAAGCTGGGCTGGGAAGACACCGTAGTAGCAGCAGAATTCCTCCGCCAATGGGAGAAGGGGAAATGAGTAGCCCACATAGAATAAATATGCGTAGAATGCGCAGTATCCAGGGCGATGAATCTGGACCACGTCACGACCAGATCGATGTGGGCCGGAATTTTGAACTTTGCCTTGAAATTAGCATGGGCAATCGCGTCCATCACCGATTCCGTGGCCTCAGGGTCGTCCTCGGGCGGTTTTGAAAAGTCAGATCTAGCCTTCTCATTACGAAAAATTATTTCCTCCACCGTAAGAAAGCTTTCATCCTTCGCAACATTGGCAACCCCATCGTCATGGGGAGGCATGCGCATTGCCAAGGGAACCGGGTCAAATACCCCCCCTCCCCCTGAGCTGAAAGACATGTTAACCATCTTTGTTTATGAATAAAGGAGATGTAAAAATAGAAGACTCAAGAGTAGCGGAAGCCACCAGAATCAGTGAAAGCAAGAATATGGAAGTAAGATCAAAAGAGAAAGAATTCCGAATGAGGAAGGAAGAAGAAGGTATGAAGGTCCAATATTTAGATTACAAAGAGTAAGGCAAAGGATTTTGTATCCCTATTTATAAGAGTTCAGACATAAATATCGAGAAAGCAAACCGTCGTTACCCAGCTCAGGAATCGAAGCGGCAGAGGCACGGGAAACGATGCAAGGTATTGAAAAAATGCATAATAATGACGTATGTTGACATGATGTCACTCTGAAACGACATGACCCTAGGTTGCGGCTCACGGAAGGCCAGGTTTCCACCCCGTCTAAAACGCTACTACTCGACCCGCTCATCTAAACTTCTCGACCATAATTTACAGAGTTAGCTCATCGAGGTCGCCAGGGTCGACATCAATAAGCGGAGGGACTAACTGTATAGGTCAAAATCTGCCTCAACAGGATTTAGCATGGAGTGGTATTGTAGAAAGTGATGTGGCCGAGGTCGACCAGTGGACAACGGGGCTCGTAATCGGGCGGTCAATAACGGTCGAGGTCAAGTATCAAGGACGGTACTAACGACTAGTTTTGGTAATAGGATATTTAAGGGAATATTTCGCTGAATATTTTATGTACTGGTACTTTTAGGGTTGACTGGGGATATGTCTCATATACATAGAAAAAGAGATAAGGGGAAGAGGTATGTAATATTTTTCTTTCTGATAAGAGCATCTTTTGAGAAGAAGACTCTCTCTAGAAAAGATACAAACACTACCTTTCTAATAAGATTCTACCATCCATTATTCCAGACTTTTCCATTAGATCTAAGAATAGTTTCAATATTCTAGGATTTGTCTATCACTTATCACTGTGAGAAAGAAGATTCATCCACCTCTTTCGATATTGGGTGAATCATTCTTCTTATTTACGTTAATGTCATTTATTGTTATTTATTGCTTGATATTCTTCTATCATTACTCCCCTTAAAATATTAAATGCACGCTGCATTTAATCCCCCACCAACGCTATCCTACGTTATTTGTGTTAGTTAGATATAAATTCAGGGATATTAATATCAACTAGGCTTAATCCCTCATTACATAAAATTAATTAGTTTAATCAAAGATTTACGCTTTTTGGTCAAACAAAAATAACCTCTCTATCCTCACAAAGTAGGGATAACGTCTACTACCATTCTACACCCCACGGTGTGGGATAATACTGTGTATGTTGCTGTATAAAATCTAATAAGGTGGATAGGTCACTTCATTAATGGCCGTAAAATGAGGGTGAGCGGCGTGACCGCTTGAGTGACTGTTTGCTAAATTTTGAGGTTATTTAATTGAAATGAACATTGACAGATACTTACAATTTAGTCATTAGTACCTCAAAGTCATTTTAATTGTGTCTTTATAAGTTTATATTTAAATTTTGGGTTTTTGGGTTAATTGATCAAAGGCCGAAATAACTAATTTATTGAAATATTAAGTATATGTAAGGACATTCTTATCCTCTAGCAAAGTTAGCATCTGAATCCAAAGTGCAAGAATATTTCTTTTGCGTCCTCACATGGATTGGAGATATAGTCTTTTTTATTTATTACACCATTCTCGTTAAAGCTCGAATTAATTACATTCGCATCAGAAAGTTCTCCATTCAGTTTTTCTTTCTTTTCTTACTTATAACAGCACCCTTCTGTATTTTTTATTATTTTTTATTTTTTTGTTGGTGGGGAGAGTGAGTTAGGGTGGGGCCATCTTCATTTTTTGGGTTGGCATGACAGCATGATTATAGTTAGAGACATGATATATATACATCAAATTTTCATAATGACATGATGCAGGTGTAGAATAAAGTTGACACAAACGAGAGTGTAATTACATCAACAGCTCTATGGTATCAACTCTTACTTTCAAACACTAGTTATAAACATTTTCTAAGGAGTTGTTACAAACGACCAAATTGACAGTATTAAGTTATTTGAGAAAACTAATGTTATATTAATAGGAAGGAATCCTACTTATGTGAATTCTTAGGAAAAGAAATTGATTGGATATTTGGATTAGATGAAGTATCTTAGTTACCAACCAAAGATAGAGGTGGATATTAATAAAGCTAATAATGAGGAACAAACCTTAGGTGAGAGTAAATTAGGATGACAAACTTTGTCGAGAATATATTATGAGAATAAATTTGCCAACCATTACACAACTGCTTCACCTTCGTACTACAGACAACTGTGTCAAGCAGTTATTGCTTTTTCCCTTTTTCTCTTTTCTTCCTTATTATCATTACTTCGTTTCTTTTTATTTAAATGGACAAGCTGTTAAGGTTAAACTTTATAAGTAGTAAGATTTTATTTTTGAGTTGGAGTTGCAGCCTTCGTTTCTATTCACTGTCGGCCACACCACACAATTTTCCTCATCCTTCACAACAGACAACTGAAAAGTGCACATAAGTACATGCAAACCCTTTATGTACTATCCACTAAAACAAGTTCCTAGATTAGCAATTTATTAAGAGCTAATTGATTATGTTTAAGCACATCATAATCCATAGTCCTTGTGCTAAATTACCTTTTTCCTATTTTTCATGATTGATAAACGAGCTTTTCTGATGCACAAGTACAGAGAAGCAGTAAAAACTATCTTTCTTGGAACAGTTCTGCTTCCATTAATTCTGCCTTAAACAAATTGCTGTCTAAAACATGCCAGATAAAATTAAATATGTTGCTCAGACTTTTCTAAAATATAATTGGATGCATAGCAAATCCTCCAAAAGTAATGCGTTTTTGAAGGATCTAACGGACGCAATAACATTTTGAAAAGTCCATGCAATAATGGAATAAAGTACTCGTACTTGCTTTCTAGATTAGAATTTAAGCCATCTCAAAACTCGCAAATCTAGCAATATCGATCATTTACATAACAGGAAAGCATCAATGCCATCTATATCTCAAATCTCATGGGAATTCAATAACCTGATATGCAAAACCATTTAGCAATCCGATCAGTAATTGACCTGCCTATCCCCTACGACAAGGAGCAATACACATAATAAATAGTAAAGGACAAACGAAACAATGAAAAATGCATGATAGATAAAAGAGTTGAACATTTGTTCCCATCATGTCAAATTCATGTATTGCATGAGACAACCAGCACTATATCACAACTATTGCTCTTTAATTTCCCTGTGTAGAAATTTTTTTGGTTTCAACTGCAAAATTTTACAACAAAACACAACTATTGCTCTTTAATTTCCCTGTGAAGAAGGAATTTTGGTTTCACTGATCGTTTTGGCTGCAAAATTTTATAACAACAAACTTTAACCAATGCAAAAATACATGTTCCAAATAAAACAGCAAAAAGTGATGTCATTAGAGGAAAACTAGGTAATGGTCTGTTCAAACTCCAAAAAGCTGTTGTGTCCGTGCCAATTGATGCAAATCTTCTACCAGATCGCCCCATCCTACAAGTGGACGAATGACCATAAGTAAACAAATTAAAATACAGACAACGGTAAGTTTTCAGTATCCAAATACTCCATAAAACTCCGAGAGTGGTATAGGTTTTGGTATTCCTTCTAGAGCTTCTATAGTTTCGATTGGACTTGATTCTCATCTAGTTGCTTTTACTTTTTCTTCTTTATTTTCATGTGTGCCATTTCATAAATACTGGTCAAGTTGTGATAATATCAAATCAGCAGTGTAATAAGGACAAACTAATGTTTTTTTAAAAAATAAGTTGACATTTCAGTCTTAAGATGAGATATGATTGCAGTATATAATGCACCTCAGAAAGTCTTTGATCGGTTTCCACAAACGTGCAGCGCCTTTACTATCACCTACAAAAGCAAGATTCCCATCCAGATTATTTCTTGGTATCCCTATTAATAAAAGTTAAAAGGTAAAGAATGAAGAAACTAGTGAACATGGTTAATGTAACATACTAGAAACAAATAACTTCGCTAACTTAAGTGCATCAAACAAAATAAAAGGCAAGGGTTGATGGCATGCTTTGAAACATTGCATACTTGAGTGCGTTAAAGAAATGAGGCTAAGTTTGCTTTTTGATATCACATCTGAAATTATATCTGAAGGGTTCAATCTAGCAGGGTTCCCTATTTTAGGTTCAAATGGTAGACCAAGACAATGCCCTATTTTAGGTTCAAATGGTAGACCAAGACAATGGTGTACTTTTGAAGGGAGTGGATGAGGTGTATTTGGCAAACCCAGTAATAAACAAAATTAAAGAGAGTGAATGAGAGCTAAAGGCTTCGCTAGAACCAGAAGTTGCTAGTACTACAATTCTTCTAGCATGTTCACTTCTTTGGATCCCTCCTTATACATGTTGAGTCTGCCACATCGGCTAAGGGATGGGGGACTTAGTCTTCTTATATGGCTTAGGCAATCCTCACCTCATGAGCTAGCTTTTGGGGTTAAGTTAGGCCCAATGTCCATATATGTATCATGGTATAAGAGCCGGACCCATCCCAATTCTTTGTTTCACCAATGTTGGGTCCCCATATTATATTGTCCACGCTCTAGTTGGCAGGCCCGGGCGTGCGGGGGTGTTGTCTCCCACATCGGCTAAGGGATGGGGGACTTGGTCTCCTTATATAGCTTGGCAATCCTCACCTCATGAGCTAGCTTTTGGGGTTTTGTTAGACCCAATGTCCATAACTTTATCACTACCAATAGATGTAATTGTTTCTAACATAACCCTTATTTGGGTCATGCCATGTACAGGTGCTCAAATTTGCCGATTGTGACTCTGCCTTTGACACACTTCTCTGAGTGAATTTTTCTTCTTTATGTTTCTGATATGGTTCTCTGACTGAAATTCTTCCTCTCATCAAACAAAGATTTTGGACTCTTTAAAAGAAAGAAGAAAGAATAAGAAAATATACCACCAGATGAGACTGAATACTGCTTCGATGTTGCTCTAAGTGAAGCCAACTTCTCAACTAAGGTGCGCTCTGCATCACTGACATAGGAGAAGAGAACACAGATTATTGAACATGACACATATCAGTGAACAATTTTAGATGAAACAAGCAAACATAGAAAATTATTCAACTCAGACTTTACGTTACTTTAAAAAAAGAGGTTGACCACATGAACCCGGTTCCCTTTCAGATCCGCTTGAAGTCAATTATCTTAGGCAGAATCGATGGTATCCTACCCAATTACTATACCACATGTATAGTAATTAAACAAAACAGCTACACTAAATCTAAGAGTAGAAAGTATCGACTTTGTCAGCC